TGTGTGTGGGGGGGTGTGTGTGCTCACTTGGTGGTCTGCTGTTGCATTTTGGAAGAAAACCCGAGTCCGGCCAGGATGACGGACGCTCTGATTGGACGAGACAGATGTCAATCACAGACACATCACCAGTCAGACCCAGTGGGTGACATGAAGGTAACAACAACAACAACAACAACAACAGCAGCAGCCTCCTCACCGGGCCGGGGCTTTGTCCGCCTCGATCTCCTCCAGCTTGGCGTAGATCTCCGTCAGCCGGACGCTCTCATTCCCGTCAATACTGGGGTTATAGGGAACAACAACATATTAAAAACAACAACACAAAGACAAAATAAACACTTTGGTGGGGCTTCAAGATTCTCCATGAAAACAAATGAACTAAAAATATAGAGAAACTTTGATCTATTTTTTTCACTATGAAATAAAAACACATTATTTGTCCCTTCTGCCCAAGTGTGTGATCCCGTGATGTGTAACATCATATTTATATAATTATAACTTTATATACACACATTAGAACTTCATCTCACCCTGGGGATTAATAAAGTGATGCCTTTTTACTTTTATATAATATGTAAATATGATATTTGAAGATAGATAATAGAATAAGTTATCGTTAGTTGATAGAGACGTACCATAATACCTGCGATGTGTGTTCATCACATGTTATTGTTACATATTTGATGCAGTTTATGATGACTGAGATAATGTATGTGTGGTTGTGATGTTTCTTACGCTCCGGTGGCGATGCGCGCGTTGAGGTTCCTCTCCTCCGCCAGCAGCCCCTCCCTCACGGAGTCGCTCTCCAGGACGCTCTGCAGAGCTCCGGTCTCGTCTCCGGCCACTTCCTGTTCCACGTGCAGGATGGTGATGTGAGGCGGGACCCGCAGGCTGCGACTCGCCAACATCTTCAGGAGGGTCGTCTTCCCCAAACCGTTACGACCAATCAGACCGTAGCGCCGGCCCGAAGACAGAGAGATCTCCGCCCCCTGCAGCAAACACCTGCACAGAGATTATAGTCATTCAGACTGACCTGGGACCAGCTGCTATAGACTGAAGACTCTCCTCTTACAGTGAGGGCTGGTTCAGACTGACCTGGGACCAGCTGCTAGTTCTGCTGCTATAGACTGAAGACTCTCCTCTTATAGTGAGGGCTGGTACAGACTGACCTGGGACCAGCTCCTAGTTCTGCTGCTATAGACTGAAGACTCTCCTCTTACAGTGAGGGCTGGTTCAGACTGACCTGGGACCAGCTGCTATAGACTGAAGACTCTCCTCTTACAGTGAGGGCTGGTTCAGACTGACCTGGGACCAGCTACTAGTTCTGCTGCTATAGACTGAAGACTCTCCTCTTACAGTGAAGGTTCAGGCTGACCTGGGACTAGCTACTAGTTCTGCTGCTATAGACTGAAGACTCTCCTCCTATAGTGAAGGCTGGTTCAGGCTGACCTGGGACCAGTTCTTAGCTATAAAGGGTTTTCTGCTGACCTGTGGATCAGAGCAAACAGGTCCTCAGTGGTTCGAGTCCTGGTCGGGGATGCAAACACGCCATCTTCCTCCGGTTTAGACTCTTCACTCAGGGAGGAGTCTCCAGCGTCAGGGGGGGGGAAGTCTGTTAACAGAAATCTACACTTAATATCATACAGCAGAGGTGAAGGAGACATGTGTCATAAACCCTTCCAGTCCTTCCAGCTTAAACTGAGACATAAGGAAATGTTCCCTGAAACCCTGGGAGAGGGTGGACCATTTAAATAAATAAAAACCCCAAGGATGGGGCCTACGTAAAGCCAATCTGGATCCAGAACGTGGTCTGTCTTAAGATAGCTGTTTATTGAACGTGGTTCTCCAGAAGTTAGTGGAGACCTGATCCAGGAGGGCCTGAGCCTGAAGGTAGACTACATAACTTCTGGTCTATCAGGAGGATCAATACAGAAGCAGGACCTCAACAACGGGCCCAACCTGGGGCCCTGATAGAACCATTAACGACCCGGAGAGAGAGACGGATCACATGACGTACCTGTCTGTCTGCAGAGGTCCTTTGTCACTGCAGCTCTGGAGGACTCTTCTTCTTCTGTGGTTCCTGCAGCTCTGGAGGACTCCAGCTCTTCTTCTGTGGTTCCTGCATCTCTGGAAGACACCAACTCTTCTTCTGTGGTTACTGCATCTCTGGAGGACTCCAACTCTTCTTCTTCCGAGGTTCCTATAGCTCTGAGGAGGCTCTCCAGGATGTCCTCTGATTGGCCGTCAGCACTCATTATGTCCTCAACCAATCCAGGGAGAGGACCTTCTTCATCCTCCTCCTCTTCCTCACCTCTCTGCAGAACAGATGTTTCTACTTCCTGTCTGAAGTCTGTTACAGGTTCCTCCTCCTGGGGGGTCAGGGGAGACTCTGAGGAGGCCTTCAGAGAGGGAGGGGGGAGGAGAGACTCTGAGGAGGCCTTCAGAGAGGGAGGGGGGAGGAGACACT